GGATTGTACTTTTATTAACTTGTTCGCTCACAAATACCATTCCTTCGGAGCTTGGATTGCTTTCCAAAACTGAATCTCCTGTACTTATCAGCAACCACTTCACTGGCAGCCAGTCTTTCCAGCACTATATTCTAAATCCCTTTTCTGTATGTCTTTTTGGTAGATTGTTCCCCAGATCCCTTTCCCATTGAATACACCTGCAGCACAAGCACTCGTGGCTGAGCTGGCTGTACCAGTAATAATACGGTACCGTACATGCATGAGCACTCCAATGCAGAGCAGAGAAGCTGGTATCGTATTAGCTAATGGCTAGTGTACTAGTAGTGGAAAATGCAAGTGGATTTATTTGGTAAATCGTTCTAAAATACTGTAATAGTAGTACATCGTCGACGCTTTAAGTATGTGCGGTAGCGTGGTGGAGTGGGTTATGTTCAGGTTGAGAGCAGAATTGGTGCTGCTGTATGTATAGTGTCAAAGTAAAGGTTGCTTTGTAAAATGTTCATGCTTGGCTGTACCGGTATGCTAGGTAGCCGATTGCCAGCTTAACGACGACGCCGGATGGGTTGTCTGGGAGGAAGTGCTGCGGAATCTTTGGGAGGGCAAGATTTTCGAGTGGGCAATCGGAGTGGGTTGCACTCTGCTGTGCATGCCCATCGGTCGTTCTTGTAGACGCATGCGGGGCAGTCTTTCTTACTGGCGGATCCTTCGTCCCAGCGAGTGTCCACGAACTCTTCAGCTTCTGGGAGGACAGGCATGGTGCGAACTTCAAATGTACCACCGCAAGATGATGGAATGAAAATCATTGGGGGGATCATAGTATCGCGGCTGGTGATGCACATCTTGATTATCTATCTTCGTAGCGGTATCAGAATCGGGTGATAAGATACTGTATGATGTTTGTTCGTGCAGTTTTTTGTTTTGTGAGAGTGGAAATTGTGAGATCCAAGAGGGCAGGTGGCCGGGAGTTTGGTCCTGCCTCTGCGTGGCTCGCTTCAGGATCAGACACATCCGCCAGTTCACCACAGAGAGAGATGCGATTCAACCGAGTGTTCTCTGGGTAGCTTCTGGGTTGGAGTCGCAAGAACCTCAAAATGTCCTGAATCAGCAGCAAACCAACAAAACGGAAGCCCTCTATTGTTTGGAGAGAAGGACACATACCTGAATTCGCTGGTCCGTTGTGGACTATAGGGTATTGTTACTGTTGTATTCGGGCTTTCCGCTTGGCTAGATCAATGGTAAGATGTTTGGTCGGTTGCTACATGTACGTTGCTACCTCTAGCTCTGTGCAGCTCTGTGCTATGTGCTATGCTCCCTCATTCTTCCGGAGTACACGGAGAGACTGCATGCAAAAGCGATGCAAATCATTGTACTGCATAGAAGTGAAGAATTGTACTCAATTTCGGATACCGGTATGGTAGCTGGTTCGCCCCGATCAGGCTACGGGTACTCCGATGATGAGTAGATACTAGTAGTAGTCCTGGGAGTGGGAGAAAACAGCCAAGATTAGGAGAACAATGATGTGGACATTCAAGCAGGAGTAGTTGTCTTCCTGGCACTTCCTGCTTCTTCTTCTCTCAACCTTCTTCTTCTCTTGGCTGTGTGCTCGTACGTATACCGATACCGGTACATGTACATGCACTGTCTGCTGCGTCGGTCCGCGATCTGCGTACGGTACATTCGGCGGTTCTGGCTGAGTCGAGTCGCTTGGCTCCTGCGCTACCGGTACCGTACGAGAACGTTTTGATGAGAGGAGGTACCAGGTAGGTATTTGCAACTCGTCTAGACTCTTGCGGTTGGCTTGCGCTGGCTTCCTGGAGACTCTAGATTCTTGCAGGCAATCATCACGGTACAGTGAAGCTGGACGATACTCTAGCTAGCTAGGGAGATGCATCAATGTGCTGCCTGTTTTGCTTAGCTAATATGCAGCTTCTACGATTTGCCGTTACTCTGGCTGGGGGTACATCTCCTGGAGCGCCTAGCCACTACGTGGGCAGTCAGAAGCGATTGCTGTCTGTCTCTTGCTTCGTTGCTCAAATCATGGACTGTATTTTGCTAGCTCGTGTTCTTGCTCGTCTCTTGTCGCCCGTGCAAACTAGCCACGATCGATTGCATCTGCAGTGACTTCGTCACTAGAATTGGGATGGACAGACCATGGGTGTCTTTGCTATGGAATGCTTTGACGAATACATGTATGCACTGCTACTAGCAGTGGCCTGTTTGGCTGTTTGGACAGATCTACAGCAGTAGACTAGCCTGTTTGGAGGACAGATCTAGCAGCTAGCTTGGTGCGTCAGGACTTCACGCACCAACAGTGGCGGCCGCAAGGCCTCCGACGACTGGGGTCTGAAGTGGAGACAAGATCCTGCATCATCATCTATTTGTCAGCTCCCGGCTGCCTTTTCCAACTCATTCCAACTTGCCACTCTAGACGCTTTCGTTTGCTGGGAAGACTGTCTTGGTCTGAGTTACTGAGTACATGAAGAGTGGTCCAATGCGTGGCTGCTATCCTCGGGGGCAGTCAGCATTCATGAACTCGTTGTAGCAGGCCCGAGCCTTCTTTGTCGTCGCCGCCCACAGTGGCGAACAATTAATTGACGGCTGACAGAAGGAGCAGAATAGTCTTACAGCTGCTCTACAACTCAAGCCTTCTGCCTTGCTTTGTTACCAGAAGGATGCTCCGAATAGGAGTCTAGCTAGCTAGCGCTTGGAAGAGGGCTTCACGAGTAGCTACCAGCTAGCTAGCTGGCTACCCAGCTCCTTCAGACTTGACTTAATTAAGCGTCGGATGTTTGGGAGCGACAAAGTTTTCACTGGCCAGCTGTTTCCCACTGATTGTCTGATGTGTCCACGGATTGAAAGCATCCGCTGCTTCGATGGCTGTGTGTCTGAGTCACTATCTCCTCCAGCTCAGCTTTTCAGAAAGAGAGTCAGTTCTTGAGCTGTTCTTGATACTCCGAACGACAAAAAGAATTTCGGAGGTCTCGTGAAGAGAAAGCGAAAAGGGAAGCCTCTGACGCTCTGACGCACTTTTTAATTTTAGTGGCAAGGAGGGGAAACTCAAAACAGGCTTTTTCTTGGGTGCGTTTAAAGATAGATTCTGACCATACCGCAAGACAAGACATAGCGGCCGTGCTGAGGTGTCGCGATTACGAACAGAAGACTCTGACGCTTTTTTGCGTTTTTCCTTCCAATATCAACAATAATATTGTACACATGAGTACGTGGCAGAGTGCACAATGAGAACAAAGGTCCTGCGATGCCTGATGCAAGTCTTGGAGCCGTCTTGGTTCAATCCTTTGCAATCTTACAAGTCGTAATGGAATGTTCACGGCATCTTCAAGTTCTCGACAGGTGAAAAGAGTTAGGAGCTACTAGCGCATCTCCAGTGACGAGCCATCAGAAACAAGCTACGTACGGACCAGGCACGACGGAGAATATCATGTATGTCAGAAAGTGCCTGATCGCCCAAACAAGAGTCCAAGGGACGATTAGATTTCTGTTGCTGTGTTTTGGCTCGCCCTTCCGAATTCCCCTTTTCGCAACTAATAAGTCCCAGCAAGTTTTAAAAAATTTTAATAATGCTAGCCAGTTCAGTACTGTCCGTCGTAGCTTTTTACATGTCGGTTTCCGAATTTTTGCTTCAATTCACAGGGCCTTTGCAGAGCGGGAAAAGCGAACTGTCGGCGAAGTCCAGAATGTGATCAGGAATGGAAATCTGCCAGCCTTCATTTCAAAGCTCACAAAACCAAAAGCTCACAAAACCAAAAGTTCACAATCCCAACCAGCAAACTTCAAACAGCAAGCAACCAACATGGCCTTCAATCTTCGCAACTACCTCCCTTCAGACTACCAAGTTGGACCTCATGATTGCATTATTGGCCGTGGTAAGAAATGCACTCAAAACCCTGGAAACAAGAGATTCCGTGCCATTATCGAAGCTACTCTGGATGCCTACTCCAATGCTCCCACCAAGGCAACAAAGTCAGAAATCATCATGCAAGTCTTGTCTCAAGTGCGCACTGACAATGGAGTGGGCTTTGTCAAGCCAGCTGCTGGTGGCTGTTTTGTTCTAGTGGAAGAAGCCTCCTGTCGTATTGCCATTGCTCAGGCTTTCCGTGATGCCCTCAGCGGAACCTACAAGAGCAGCAAGAAACACAAGGCAATCTGCCGTCTTGAACGCAAAAGCATCCAAGGAAAGTCTGTCCCAATGCCAAGCCTTGTCAGCCATGCAACAGTAATTTTTGACCCCATCAAGCCAGCTTCCCTCCTTCCTTCCTCTGCTTCAGCATCCATCAACATGTTCCATCTCCGTGACATTCTCAATGAGGCAACCAGCTTGGCATTCCAGTTCGAAAATGAACAAATGCAGGCACTGGAAGAGCCCATCCCATTGACCTTTACCACAACTGAACCTGCAGCAGATGATGTTTTCTCAATGCTCTTTTCTGCCTTTGGAAAAGACCAAGCCGAGTCCGCACTCGATCCTTTTGAACCAACCCCCATTGCCGAGGGAAACAGCAACAGCTACGAGTTGCCCTTTTACAACTCTTGTGCGCCCATGGCCGCTTAAATTCGCAAGCTCCATAGAGCACGCAATTTCTGTACATATTTTCTGCCCTGAACAAACCAACAAACAAAAACAAATTTTGAACGCAACCAGGCGTGCTCACTCCATAGAGCTGCCACTGGTACAAACACAAACGACGACACTAACTAGACCATTGTAAATAACCGGTCAAAATTATTCTCTCTCCTTGCTTGGACTCTAGCTATCTAATATTCCCAGCAGCAGCTGCAAAACTCGCCATCCAACATCTTGGATGCTTCCCTGTTCCCTTCATCGTCCCGTTACGGTTCATACCATCGACCTGAAAGAAGCGTCGCTCTTGCCCGTTTGGGTGGATCAGTACTCTACACTAATTTCGAGGAAGGTTTTCTCCTCCAGACATAACTAAACAACCCATTCTAAAAGTGCATCTGTTGCCGAGCATTTAGTCGGTCTCGACAGTTACAACTACCGTGAGGCCTGTGCATAAATGTTGTACAGGGATGGATGAAACGAACCATAAGGCCAAGCTTTCTGGGGAAAACGTGACATGACTCTAGTATGCATAGTAGTGAAGTGAAGATTCCCTTCTCAAGACGATGGAAGGGATCGCTGACTATATCTGCTTTCTTTTATTGTCCCACTGTAACAAACTCTCTGTGCGAGCAAAGACATGACCAGACGGACATCTCATCGACTTTTCTTCGAAAGGATCAGAACGAGGAAGCTGCTCCTGTGCAAGCAAAGATGTGATTGCAGGCTCAGTGTCCACTCTAGTAGAGCTGGCTAGCTGAAGCCTTCACCTCCCGTTCCTTGAAACTGAGGTTCGCGGGCTGGGTCGCCCGTATACCGGTATAGCTACAACAAGAGTAGCCGTTCAATGAACCACACGGTCCCGATACGTAGCAGAAGACATGACTCGTCACTTGATCCACTGACTGAGTGACTCGACTCGACTCGACTTGATCGTACGGCAGATCTGGCTTAACCATTCAACTGTATGGCAACAGCACAACAATCTTGCGCTCTTTGGTACAGACATAGCATCACCATGTCCTCACGATCTGCAGCTCTAAAGGATCTTGGGCAAAGCTCTGACATTATCTAGCTAGCTAGCGCAGTCGAATCCAAGGGTATCATGCACTTGTATTGTTATGCTTAACGATCGAGTGGGATCCAAGGTGCCCTCGATCTCTTCCAATAGTCTTCATCCCTTGGTCCTCGATCCATGCCCCCCAATGCCTTCCTTCCCTCTTTGGTTTTCCTGCTGCTTTGCTCACTCGATCGATTGCTCAGCTCGCGTTTGTGCTCTCTCCCTGCACCCCCTCCTCATCATAGTTCCCTCTACACCATAGTATCCACCCTCTTGAGGTATGCTATAAGTCGATCCCGCATGGATGATACTCCCAACACCAGTCAAGACACGGTGGCAATGTGAGTTTCGCTGCCCATGCAGCATTCTCTGCCTCCTTCCTTGCGAAACTGACATGTGACTTTCTTTCGTATTACAGGTTTTGACTCAAATGAAAGATTCGCGTGGGAAAACTGCTTTGGTTGTTGAATGGAGCTGTGGTGGAAGAAGATGAAACTGAACCACGCTCGATTCCTCAGTTCTGTGTCAATCTGCCAAGACTTATCATCACTCCTAACCAAGTGTTTGTGGTTGGTTTCCAGCTGAAGGTTAGCAACTCCTAGTTCGGAAGTGACTACAAAAGTACAGCTTTGCCCCTGAATCGTTTTGCAGGGGTCACTTTCAATGGTTGCTTGAGCTCTGCATTGTGTAGTATGGATATTGATAGTAGCAGCTACATTTGGCAGGAGCTTGGGTTGTTCAAACTCCATCACAAATTTGCCGGGGAATGCAAAAGGCAACACAACTGTGCAACCTGTACACCTCGGAATAGCTACCACTAATAAGCCAACAACAACCTACTACAATTAACGCGCAACAATGAAAGGCTCGACAGCAGCCTATTCTGGTTTGTTTAGAGTCCTTTATTGAGGGTTTTATGCTCTAGGGATGCCACTACCATATGGATGATACCAACGTAGATATGATCACTACTACGTGTAAATGCTGTTTTCAGCACTGCTTCTTGCTTTTGTGGAGGAGTGGCTTCTGTTCTACATCACTGGTGTCTTGTTCACGTTTGCACCATTCATGGAGGAGTGGCTTTTGTTCCATAATACTGGTGTCTTGGTCCCGATTGTTGAGCCCCGCCACCCCAGTTTTGTAATACTGGGCAATACAAATAACCTCATCTCCATTGGCATCAACCCTGGAGGACATGCCATGGGGGATCCTGGGATTGAAGATCAAGATATCTCCATTCCTCAATGCTATGGCTCTTCCAAGGGTAGGAAAGCAAAAATACACAAGGACGGCCGAGTCCTCTTTTAGTAGGCCTTCAGGAGCCACAATGGTGATGATGGACAGATTAAAGTCATCATCCACGTGAATGCTGACATAACTGTTTCTGGCAAACGCAAAAGAGGGAAACATGCACTTTGCAACACACTTCTCAGTCAATTGCACATTCTTAGTCCCAATCAAATCGTTCAAGAGATTGAGTCCTTGAATGGTCATGGTGTCAAGGTACACCTTGGTAATCGCACTTGTTTGCTGCAAATGATACTTGATGGCTTTCACATTAATGTCTTCCATTTTTATAGGAAGAAAATGATTCACAAATCCTTGTGTACCTTGGTGGACACCAATTCCACATTTGCCATATGTGTTGTTGACATCTTCAAAAACGAGACGTCTCATCACTGTGTCAAGCTTTTCATCAGGAGATGTTGGGGTCTTGTTAATGGCATCATTGTAAGCCCTGGCTGTTATCATGAAATTTACCTTTTTTCCATATCGCTTTACTATGGCACGCCGAGGAACAAGCAAGACATCATCACCACATCTTCCTCCCTCTATGTTGTCATAGACATCAAAAGACTTGAAAACATCCAAAACCAAAACATGCATGTCATTCTTTTCACTTGGTTTGGGTAGATTGAGAGGTTCCACTTCAGGTTTGCCACCATTGATGAAAGTATGGTATCTCTTCTTATCATCACCCTTCTTCCTGGGCTTTGGGAGTTCGAGAGCCAGATCGGTACCTGCAATGATTTTTGGTAATCCATCCAGCCTTGTCTGCTTCTTCATAACCTTGGCATGGTATTTTGCACAATTCTGTGTGCTATCCCAGTTGGATGGATCAAGACTGTTAGAGGTATTAGTTTTGATCTTTTTCGCAAGGATTTGAGTACACCTAGCAGAACCAGCCCTTTTGTCCTTTGATTTGTATGGTTGCATGGGCTTTGCCCCCATATTGGTTACGCTTGAAAGGATGTGAGGAGTTGACTTTAAAAGATGGGTCTTCAATTTCCCTTTTGCCTTGATGGATTGGGATGATTGCATGATTCCGTGATTGATCTAACAGATTTGAAAATTTGTGCTCTTTTCCTTTTGGAACAAAGCTTCCGTCGCGGACCACTGGTCCACTAGAGATTTTTAAACAAACAAACAAACTGGCCTGAGTGGCTAGCGCCATTATGCATTCAGCATTGGGCTGGCAAACTGGCTGGCTGGCTGGCTGACTGGCTGGCTGGCTCAGTGCATTGGCGACAAACCAACCGATAGCTCTACTCTGGCTACGGTATGATACCGGTACGGTAGCTGGCTAGCTAGCTAGCTATGTAATATTTGGCGTGCCTCCAGAGAGCGAGCCAAACCAAGCAGGCAGAAACAATTGCGGACAAGTGGCGCTTGCCTAGAGCAGCACAGCACAACTAGTTGAGTAGTGTAGGGTGGTGGAGAGACTCGGCCATTTACTGAGCCAACCGTCTCCGCGACCCAGGGGTGCCATTTGTGATTGCTAGAATCGCAAGCTGGAACCAAGGCACGAATGAGGCAGTCCCGCGGGATGTGAGTCCCGCGTGATTGTGCGACGTTCGGCCAACCCAGGGAGGGAGAGGTGGGTTAATCTATTCTAGTTCTTGCTTGCAGCTCGGCTGAAGGAAGAATTGTGAGCAGAGAAGGAGACAACCTTTTTGCGATCGACTGTTCAATGGCTGGAAGAGAGAGTTGGACTGGTCTTGCATGTTGTGTTCATTCAAGGTTGCTATCTGTGAGCGGTCTTCGAGGGGTGCTATTGCCTTAGAGCTGATCTTGCGAAGGAGGCAGACATAGCGACATGTATGTGGGGTATCCATTTCAGGAATGCAGGTGATGACCCGAGAGATGTAGAGATGTACTTGATGTGTAGGAGCGAAGTGTGGGAATCGATTTCGTGTTTTGTGAGATGGTACAGTTTGGCAACTGTGAGTCGAGTCATTCGTCGAAGAACCCATGAGGGTTCAGGTTTCCACGCCAGGCAGCGTGGACGGATAGGGATCAGGATCGTTACTTTTTCAAGGGAAGCCGAAAACCGAAGGCTTCCCCTCTGGATCTGTCAATACAAGAACAACAACACTAATAGCAACAAACACAACCAATCGGTCATACCTATACCATTACACTACCTATTAGCACCATTAGAAGCATTGAAACGAAGCGAAAGGACCTCAGGAAGCCTGTTTTCTGTTATCTTGTTGAAGAGTACTGTTTTACTATAGGATTCAACTCAACGTCATCACGGAAAACATACACCCCTTTTTCCTCTCTTTATCTCTCATTCAAGCCGAAAGGATCGATACCTCCTATCCCCTATCAAGCGCACCTCCTCTATCAAGCGACTATCAACGCGGCGTTCTCCGGTCCAGATTAGAAAGCCATCCAATTGAAATCCTACGAGATCGGGCGGGTTTTCTATTCTCGACCGCCGACGGCCAAGTTGGAAGAATTTGAACACAAGAAGAAGTCTCCGGCCTTCCCACAGCACAGTACAGAAAACAATTCCATACGTATTTGTTGCTTTCTGAACTAAGCTCCTGACGGCCGAAGAATCCCATTGTCGTCCGATCCTTCTTCTCTCGAACGATCGCTCCTCCTCTTCCACCACACCAACAGGCTGGGTTAACCTTACCCCTAAGGCGACTGACGTTGTTTCGAATCGAATCCTCTTGAATCGATCGCGAATCGAATCGGTTTCGAATCGAATCCAAAGACTCGCTCCTCCGTGAATCGATCGATCTTCCCACGAACGCACCTCCCCTCCGTATAGTACCTCTCCCTCCGTACGAACCTACTGTCATCAAGAAAGACTTCACGAGATACCTGCAGTACACCCAGAGAGAGAATTACACCGTTATTCTTACTTTCTCACCGGCCACTAGTGGGTTTCTCCCGACGTCCTTGTTGGAACTGATACCTATGATCCAACCAGTCTATCCCTTACAGACTGAGTGACTGATCGACACTGACTGTTACCACCCCTCCATTGATATCTAACTCCTCTCCAAGAGGACAAACAAACACCAACAGAGTTCCTGTAAGGACTTGAGTTCTGTATCTCCAGGCTTGGCTGAATTTGCTAGTTTCACAGCCCCTCCCTGGGATACCCAGCTCCTCTCCATAAGGAGCTCTCACCCACAGAACAACTACAAAAGCTGCCCCTCTGCGTGTTTGGCTAGATTGTGCAACACCTCCATTGAAACAGCCACCTCTCTGCTACTGCACCTGACTCTCCTACTGAGTGTGGTGCTCCAAAGGATTGAGCCCCAGACAGAACTGAAGCGTGGTGTGGCATAGATATTAATACATAACTGACTCTATCTCTCTCTCATTGATTGTTGAAGTGACTCTCCAGTGACTTTCCACAGTTCCACCTGAATCGAGTACCTCTCCACATCTTGGCTTAACTCTCTGTTGCATGTCTGACCATACAACAGATTGAGTACCACCCTTTGAGACAACACAGTGTCACCCAGCTAACACAGCCCCATCAACCACAACACCACCTTTATCCCCCACCCTGCCTCTACTGGCGTATGAACGTTGACTTCTTCCAGTTTTCCCTGAAAGAACCCTAACAGACTTTGGCTCTGATACAATCCTCTCCTATCTCTCTCTTC